CTCCGGACTGGCTAGCCTTTGAATTCTTTCCTGTGGGAAACCAAGCACCCACAGTGGGTAATGGACTTTTAGGTCCTGGGACCCCTGGAACACCTACGTCAATATGTTTATTCAAAAATTCCATTGCCACAACTGTAGTTAAGAGTCATCAAGTACATAAAATAAGCCATTTATTTATAAGGTGAAGACAAATAGGCACTAATCCAAACTTTTCTTCTTCAGAACAGCAATATACCTTTTTTTTTCCATTTTGTAAATCAAATCCCTTTATATAAATCTGTTCCTAAGCAGAATTTATGTCCTGACTTTAAATCTTTTTAGAGATCCCCTGGACCTAAACAATAAATGGCCGGAGATCAGAGCTGACTGTTCCTTAGCAACAAATTAAATGTTAGTACATTCTTGATATTCACATGGTCTCTTCACTTTTGAAAGCTGTTTATTAAGGTCAAGGTTAATTAACACTTCAGATAATAACAGAGGTCTCCTAGTCACAGTCAAGAGTTATTCCTGTAAATGTCATCACATCAGTTACAGGAAATAGGGGCTATTTATAATCTCACTCACAGCTACTTATCATAGGAAGTTGTCTGTGTTTAATCTTAGTGAATTATGGAAGTTTATTTTTTCTCAGAGCTACACTCTTAACAGCAACTGTCATATACTAATACAATATTTGATGTAGGACTAAATGGGTAATTCTTCTTCTTTATATCTATCTATATATGAATATTCCATGTGGTGAGACCAAGCACAATAAAATCTACTAGGAAAATATACTTCAGAAAGAAAACTAGATAGTGGTATCCCTTAAATTTAAATGATAGAAACCAGAGATGCACTACAAGAAATACATTATATACCATATTTCTCTGAATCATAATGAGAATGTTCTATTAAAAGTTTAACAAAAATATCTATATGGAGGCACCTTTAGAAAAACAGAATGTATAATTAATAAGTACAGAGGAATAAATTTCAATTTAAAAGATCACTTGAGATATTTATCAAATGAGATATTTGCCTTGCAAAGAGATGATATTCTTTTCTGTATTTTAATAAGAAATGTAATAAAAAGAAATAATGATGACAATTCTAGCCAAACACTTAGGTTACTTAATGATCACTGTAAAACACACAGCATTTTAGGTTAATAAAAGTGAAAACTAACCATCTTCCCCCCAAAAGGCATCTGATATGAAAGAAAGTATATTACCTTTTATTTCATGTTGGCTTGCTTCTCGTCTTCTTTCCAGCTCTTTTCTGTCGTAATTCAACCTTTTTAAGCACATAATCCCATACTGTAAACTTGTTCTGTTATTTTTTAAAGTAAAAAACATGTTAAATATACTCAGCAGATGAAGAATGTTCCTTGATTAAGCAGAGTCAACAGTGTGCACTACTTTTAGGGCAACAGGTTAATACATTGCATCTGTAATTAAATTCTTTAGTATTGCAGGAAAATAAAATCATAGTTATCTAAGTAAGCACACAGTGTTTCTAAAGAGAAAAAAAAATACTTGCAAAACGAGAAAAGTATAGTCTTGAAAATAATTATGGATTATGTCATTTATTCATTTGCTTTTGTCTTCCATTAGGCTATTTTGACAAGTGAACATTTCATTCATTTGGAAATAATTTAAAGAGTCATTATTATGGAGACAGGAAGGAATATATGTGAAATTTATACTCTCCTTCAAAGCTACTAGTAATGAGGACAGTAATATAAAAATATGAATAAATATGAATAAGTGAAGTAATAAGATAACCAAATACTAAGATGACCAGCCACCAACTCTAAGTGATACAGAAATATGTGAAAAGAACAAATTAGCAGACATTGGAACTCTGGAATGGAAGAGCAGAAACTTGACTGATCCTTAGGATCAGGTGCAAAAGAAGGGTTATTAAAGAAAATGGCGCATCATGACCATGGGGCTGCAGATGAAAGTTTAAATGCCTGGCAATACTGAGGTACACTATCTGGGATTAAAGTCCATGGTAGGAAGTCAAGAGAAATAATATTATATAGAGAGGGGAGTTCTATTAAGGAAAGCTTTGCATTCATTGTAAGTGTGGAATACAGAAAGAAAAGCAATGAAAATTTCTGGCTTAAGGAAGAATAATCTGGTAGCAAAATAGAAGGTGAGGAAAACCTAGGGGACAAGGAACTCAATTAGGGTGTCAGGGCTGCTAAAATAATGGTCATAATAAGGACAGTTGCCACGGGCATGAACACTGAACCCAGAAACCAGAAATGTCTAGAGAGAAGAAAGGAGGAGATTTGGAAATATCAGATATTAAGGATGTGGAAGAGTGTACTAAAAAAAGAATCTTCAAGCTTCAAGAGGAAAGAACATTGATCATTAGTGATCTCTTAGGTGTTTAGAAAGACACATAAATTTATACATACACATTGGCCAGGTTGCTCCTAAGTGTTAGATGCAGTCCTAAGCCCTGCACTTTAATAAAGACAATGTGGAGCTCAAAATACTTCACAATTAGAGGAAAAGGAAAAGAAATCTGCATTGAGTGAGTGTTACAGGCTGAATTATGTTTCCTCAAATTCATGTTTAAGTCCTAACACCCAGTAGTACTTCAGAATGTATTTGGAGATAGAGTCTTAGATGAGGTAATTAAATTAAAACACAGTCTTTAGAGTAAGCCTTATTCCAGTCTGACTGATGTCTTCATAGGAAGAAAGAATTTGGACACACAGACGGGAGCTATGCAGGTGCACACGCAGAGCAGAGACAGCGTGAGGACACAGGAGAAGGTGGCCATCTGCGATGCAAGGGGAAACCAATCCTATAGGCACCTTGATCCCAGATTTTATGATTCTAGAATTGTGAGAAGATAAATATCTGTTGTTTAAGCCACCCAGCCTGTGGTATTTTGTTATGGCATCCCTAGCAAATTAACTCAGCGGGATCCCATAAAATGTTGGTATAATAAACATCATAGACATTAGGCTGCTTGAGGTTAAATCAATGAATCTTGGCAAGTTTCTGGCAAGTTTTTATATGTAATATAAAGTTGTGCTATAAAGACGATATATCTTATTAAAACAGTGTCTGTCAGGCTTCCATCCATCATGACACGCAGTATGCAGTTAGGTACTACCAGCTATACATCAGACCTAAGCACAGAATAAAGATGAAGCTTGTGTATTTCCTGGAACAAACAAGAACCTTGCCATTTAAGTAATTTTTATTTTTTTTAAAAAAGAAAACTTGATTATTATAATAATTATTTCTACTATAATAATAAAGTGATTAAAAGTATATCTAAAAAAAGTAGATCTAGTGAAGAATGGGAAGAAATACAAGTGTGTCATAAAAAATTCTAGTATGCAAAGGGCTAATGCAACTATGCAAAATTTGAGGGCCTAAATCAGCCGTGGGCAAACTACGGCCCACTGGCCGGATCCAGCCCATTTGAAATGAATAAAACTAAAAAAAAAAAAAAAAAAACCATACCCTTTTATGTAATGATGTTTACTTTGAATTTATATTAGTTCACACAAACACTCCATCCATGCTTTTGTTCCGGCCCTCCGGTCCAGTTTAAGAACCCATTGTGGCCCTCCAGTCAAAAAGTTTGCCCACCCCTGGCCTAAATGCTCAGTGACAGGGAACTCATTATCTCACAATGTGTTTGCTATAGGGCAACTGAGAGTCATACAAAGTTTCTATTGAACACAAAGCACTCATTTTGGTATCTACACCTGTTTGAACTAGAAAAGTGCATGTCCAACAGAACAAATATTATTCTCCCATCACATAAGTATATTAAAGCATAGAGAACTTATCTGAAGTCTTCCCATATCCAAGTTAAATGTCTTTAATTTCTTCAATCTTTCCACCAGACTTTTATCACTTTATCAAGAACAATTTAATGTATATAAATTAATACAATTTGTTATAATCATCTCACCATATGGTAGGACTGCTATTATGCCTGCCAATAAATACAATCTAAATATGCCCTGGAGAGTCATTAACCCAAACTAATGTATTTGTGTCAACTACAAGTCACATATCTTTCTCACTTGTACTATTTTTAAATCAAGGGTTTTCCATCCAATATTTTAATGGTTTTTAAAAGCTAGGTTATGGCCCTTGTGGGTAGCTCAGTTAGTAAAGCTTCATCCCATACACCAAGACTGCAGGATTGATCCCTGGTGTGGGCACATACGAGAATCAACCAATGAATGCATAAATAAGTGGAACAATAAATACCTTTCCCTCTCTCTCTCAAATCAATAAATAGAAAAGTGTTATATTTATCTGTACTTCATTTAACCCAACAGTGTTAATAACTCTATTAAGATTCAACATATTTGCCTATCTTTGATTAAAGAGTCCCTATTATTATCTTTTTATACTAAATTGATATCATCATATGTGATATTAAGATTTTTTTTTAAAGAGAGAGGAAGGGAGAGAGAAAAGTGAGTAACATCCATGTGAGGTAGAAACATTTATCAGTTGCACCCTGACTGGGGATTGAACCCCTAATTTAGCTATGTTTCTTGATCAGGAATCAAAACTGAAACCTTTCTTGGCTATGGGATTACACTCCAACCAACTGAGCCACCTGGGTGGGGCTACGAATCTGATTTTATATCATTTTCCTTTTAGTCCCTAGTTTACTGTTGGACGGGATGTGACCAAATAGTTCTCCAAGCTGAATTCATCTATATTTATTAATTTACCATCATAATCAACCATAAGACAATCACAATCTGACAATTTTTCACATAAACCTACAAAGATATCAAGCTGCAGCATAACATTTATGACATGGTATTAGAGTAAGCTTATTCTTACTGCCTCGATGGCAAACAACTTGAAAAAGAAATTGAATTTTATTCATCTGTGTCCTTACAGCTGTCTCACAATCCATTCAGGATTTTTTTCCCCTTAAAATTAATGTACAAATAAGTAAAAGCACTAAAAGTCTTATACAAAAGCAAAAACACAAAGTGTTTCTTACAGCAGAATTTCTTCTCAATTTTTTTCTAGTATATCCGTAAGTTATGTAATTTATAACCACATATATTTATAGTTAAAATTAAATTAATTTTATTCTTTATAGAGAATTTTATAATAGAAAAACATACATAGATAAAATCACAAACATGGGATTTCCAAAGATAAAGAAAGAAAAACTATGCTGTATGAAAATTTTACTAATGTATAGTTTTATAAGCTTTGGGCACATAACATGCACACAGTGGGACATTATATAGGCCCTGTAATTTGCTGCATGAAAATATTTTGTCAACTAGATGTTCACAAAATAGCAAATAATCCCTAAATATCTCTTTTTGATTTAGTTACATCTCTTTTTGATTTAAGCAGTCATGCGCTGCTTAAATATGTACATTATTTATTGTTTTACTTTAATGACACTGGAAGAAACCTACCGATGGAAACTATCCACCATTTTTAAATGGACACGGAGATCTTTTTTCGTTAGGTGATCTAACATTCTTGCATCTACCAAGCACTCCATAAAGTAACTTCTGTATTGAGGTAACCCCAGGCTGGGAAGCCATTCATTTCCAATCCACTCGTGGTTCATATCTCCATAAGCCAGGGTCTGTAGGAAAACCGGACACTAGAATTGTTTTATAGCAGTCAAGTTTCTTAGCCAATAAAATGAGGTGGTAATTGGGGGGGGGGAGGGATATTGTCTACCATTATAATGATATTTAATTATTATAATATATGGAAACATGGCAAAAATAATATTTAACCTCTAAGATGCGATTTACTTTGGTACAAAGTAGAACTCTGTGTACATGTATCAAGGTACTTGCCTATAGAAAATGATGTTTTTCATTTTGTATTCTCAAAAGGAATTACATTTTATACAAATGTGCATTTTTAATGAAAATTAGAATTAATGATATAATACAAATGCTGAGCTTAAGGATTCTTTATATAAACAGGTTTATTTAATATTTTATTGAACTGTTAGCTAATACTCCACCATTTGCTTCTCTTTGATGATATGACATTGCAATGGTATAATGGCAAATCATCTTGATGTAAAAGAGAAAATAGTAAATGAATAAGAAAGGAGCAACAAGGCTAGAGAGACAGAAAGCTGAAGTTTTAGGTGGACAATTGTCATTACCTAGTGAAGCATGAGCCATATTTCATAAAGATTATTGGAAAGAATCAGTCTTTTTGAGAAATTAATCTACGTAGACTCTATATTTAAAGAAGTAGGGCATGATCAAAAACTAAAAACAGTAATCCAATTCTTTAATATAACCAGATGAACTGATCTTACCAAACGCCGTTTGTAACAGCCAAAATGAAAAATAGAATCAAACATCACCTCTAAAACAATTTTAGTAAAGATTATTACTCTCTATTAATTTTATAGTGTTTGTCCTTATCAAATGACAAACTGGAATTGCATATTTCTATCAAAAATCTAGGTGCTTCCTTTTTGGTGTGTTCTTAAAAATGATGACATTTTTACCAAATCAAAACCTAATGCAATGCTAATTTACTGAATGTTTAAATATAATAACTACTCAAGTAGTTCTTAATAACAACTACTGAAATTTTCCTTATTGTCAAAGGTTTGAATTGCATTAACACACAGTACACTGCTTGATAGTGGCGGTATGTTCTGTGAAATATGTCCTTAGGTGATTTCATCATTTTGGGAACATCACAGTGTGTACTTACACAAACCTGGATGGCACAGTCTACTGCACACCCAGGCCATGCTGTAAAAGCAACCTTTCACTGACCACAATGTTGGTACATGACTGTAATTCTTTCAGTTATACAGCATGTGGAGATGCTAGGAAATGCACAGCTTCCTAGTGAACATGTTTGCTCAAAGTGAATATGTGTGTCTTCTATTGCCATCCTAGTAAATGGGAGAAACTTGTGATTTGCAGTTGCAATGCTGACAGCATCCCTCCCACCCTAATCTTCATACACTTCCCACTATACTTGAAAGCAAATGTGATTCCAAATAAATGTTTAATTTCCCCCACCCTTATATCCAACTTGAATGATTCCTGATTAAATATATTCAGGGGTGATTTCAGAAAAAATTAAGTTACAGTTGATTCTTTTGAAGAGTAAATGAGAGTTCCCTTTAAAAAGAGGCCAGGTGTAAAATGATAATCATCCTCTTTGCAAAATGTGGTGAGCTAAAAGGATAAATAAACTTAAATGTGCATGTTAGCCTAATTTTAGGCAAAGGGGAGATTTACAATATTGTGATATATAACAGTTTCATACTTTATATCCTCATAGGGTACTGGTGATACTGTTTTAAAGCATTTGAATTTCCTACCTGGGCCCAGCTTCCTTCCTCAGATTCTTTCTGTGTTAGCAGCAGAGAGTGATTAATAAAGCAGATAAGTGTAAATTAATTTCAAATGATTATGGTGAAATTTCTAAAAAGCAAAATTGTTATTGAAAGTGCTAATTATGACATAGGAAGCTAAAGACAGATTCTTATTCAGATCACAGTAATCAACTTAGCAGTTCAAAGGCAACTACTAATTAATAGTTTCTAATTAATTCTAACTAAACACACACACATGACACATGGAATTTTCCTGATATATTTGATCTGGTAATTCTAAACCCTTTTTAATTCTTAAAAGTGTGTACTTTTCCAAATGTAATGAATTATAATAAAAATTTCTGATCATATACATAAAAACATAATACACAAATGTGGACATATACACATATATTATAAAATGTACATTATATATCTATAGCCTGCTATACCCCTATGCAGTTCATTGTTTTACACATACACACACACACACACACACACACATACTCATACAAGCATACACTCACACATATACACATATGATGGATAAATCTTACATAAAATAAATTAATAAAGTGGAAAAATAACTGCATTCCTCTAAGAGAGTTTTGTGGTAATCAAATAGATTTCCGCAACAGCCAAAACAAGCAAAACCAAAAAAGACAAAACTAACACAACAAACTAAACCAGAAATGGAATTAGTACTGGGCATTGGCATTTTTATCCACAATAAACAGGATAATACATTTTTCAAATAGGGATAAAACTGAAAGAAGATTTAAATTTTTAAAAAGTTGGTAAGAATAAAATGCATGTTGTGCTCAACTTGGCTACTTTAAATTTAAAAAATGGCCATATGTAATATATTTTTAAAAGTAGACAAATACAATCATTGTCACCAAGAGTTTTTTAAGCCTGTTCTTTGAATAAAAAATAACAGAACATTTTTTTGGAGCAGGGGATAGGGTAAAGTGCTCTCTCTGAAATGCTAAACTACAAGAAATGAAATGATTGCATTAAAAATGAGTATCCCATCTAAATTTTTCTATTACAAATTTTATTGGGTTTGGTAATATGTATTAAATGCGAATGTGCCCAATACTAAGTGATATATGTTACCAGTGTTGCAAATGGATATATAAGTTGTTACTGAGTAGTGTTTGCATATTACAGATGCTTATGACATTAACCACATTATCACAATCTAGCACTGCTTCACTGAAAAATGCCCCATGCAGAAAACTAAAACCATGGCAAAAATGTCAGTTATCATTACATCACACTATGGAAACATACCCCTCACTTCAACCTATGGTGAACAAAACAGCTTTATCATCCAAATAGCAGCAAAGTAACTTTTCTTCATGTTCAACAGAGCCATATGGACTAACCGTTTTCGCTGGAGCTGCAAGAGTTTCCATTTCTTCATGGGTCACCCACACGTTGCCTGAGGGCTGCACGGAGGCCCGGAGGGGAGCGGTGGGATCCAGGGAGGGAAGCATGTAAAGAGGAAAGGCAGAGCCACAGTAAGTTGACACCAAGCAACACGGCCTCTGTGCACCAGAGAGAGCATTGCTGACTTGCTCATGGCTCCCTTTTCTTCTGCTTAAAAGGATCAAAAGAAAGAGGCATTCTGTGAAGCTCCTGTAAGACTGATTTAAAATAATACTTCTGTGTTTACTAATTAGGAAAATGGCTGAATCAAAATTTCCCTTTCAAAGATATGTGGCTATTATATCCACAGAGAATGGATTGAATTTGAACTATAGAAAGGTGTATTTTTTTTATTTTCTTCAGAAAACAAAGGCATATATGTTTTGTTCTGTTATCACCAATATTCCATTCACAGAGTGTTGATTCTTCAATGTCCTTAGAAAGAGAAAATTGGTTGTCAATACAAAGCTAAAAGCACTGTTATAACCTGTCTGGAAATCAATGTCAACTTTTTCCAAATATGTTCTTCCTTTTACAGTTCAGTAAATGTGTTGTTTCCCTCTATTCTTATAGAAGAAAAGGAAGTGAAATGCTATTTTTATTTAATAAAAGGTATTTTTCAGCTTTACTATATACTGTTAGAAATTACAAAATCTATTTCCTAATTTTTCAGCAGTCTCCTCTATCACTATAGAAAACATGATGTAAAAGAAAATTTTCTCTCCAGCAGGCACTATTCCACTCTGACACATAATTTACTTTCCAAATGAGACAACCCATGATATTGTTCTATACACTGAATAATGTGCAATTTCTAAACCGAAGTCCACTTAGTAACACAAAGGATCAGGCATGTCGTTGATGTTAATGGCCAATGGGAACCACTTCTCACCAAATTCCTATATTTCACTGGGAAACATCCACAAACATTGTAAGGTCATCCAAATACATCGATCCTCTGGTTACAATGGAATTTACATCTTACCCATTGCTTGTTACTTGCTTAGAACGTGTTTAGTTTTAAAGAATTGGAAATAGCAAAGTTGATATCCTAACATAAGTCACCCACATAGTTCTCTCTAGTCTAGTTTTTGCAAGGATTCACATAAGTACCATGTTTGAATTTCCTTCTACTATAAATAATACAATTTAAAACAATTTTAAGAATAACTACATATAAACTAAAATGATGAGTATAATTCGATATAAGAGAAATTTCATATATAAGAAAATTACGTGTAATTGAGTAACAAAGGAGAGCTGAGCAGTAAATACTCATAATTATAAGTAAATCATATGGGCATAAAAAAAAGCAACCCTGAATAGTCACCATATATATGTACAGAATTCTCATTTCTCTACCATTTGGAAATTGGAGTATATCCGATTATTTCTGTGGGATATAACTGTACACACCTGTAAAATATGCTTATAACACAAGAGCCACCCCTGTCATTAAAATCCTCTCTCTTTTGCCCCTCAATTTCTGGGAATAATCTTAATTATAAACATTATGGACCCGGTGACGAGCATTATGCTGAAAGGAACTTCCCACCCATCGGTCACATGCCCTTTGTAACCAGTGGTCACAGAGCTTTGCCCAAGTGCCTGTGCTGTCTTCAAGCTGAGCTCCGGTGATGATCACCTGATAGGAAATTCATTTAAGCCCGTCTGAATTTACAATGATTTCTGTAGTCTCTACCTTGACTGTGAATTCAAGCAATGAACTCCCTCCGTGTGGAAGAAACTTAACCAGTATTATCTCATCCTAAAATGCATACATGTGTAATCTAATAGGTTATCTTAAAGTTTATATTTGCCAACCTGTTACCAAATTCTTGGATGGGCAAAGTGCTGTAAGCCATGGTTTGAATCTGTACCTGTATATGCAACATGAATATATCCAGTGCAATTTTCTACAGTATGGTTGGCAAACCTGAAATTATATGTTACTCATTCACCTTTGATCTTTAGTTCTACTAGTGAGGAACACTGCCCACTCTAGAATCTTGTAAAGTTACTCATAAAATAGCTTCTACACAGCGCAATCAATTAGCCATTAGTCAAGGTTTTAACAAGTTTATTTTATAACCAAGTCCAGATGTAGCAAGATATTCAGATTTCTTTCTTTTTGCCACCAATTTAAGGGATGGAACTTACATGCAGGTCACTAATAAAGGGGTGATGTAGAGCATGAGCGTTTCAGCAGAGAGGTTATCTTAGTGAGTAGCGAGAGTAAGAGGCTTTGAGCAGCCATAGGCAATGAGGACACTGGTGCCTTGGTCCGAGGACAGAGTACAACAACGAGGCTGGAAAAGCAAAAGGACACGCCTCACATCGTTGGTTGTGGTTCTCTGAGAGTCACTAAAACCATCCACTCCCTGCCCTTGGAGCTGGAGAATGCACACCGGTAGTCAGTTATTTTTCTGTGTGGCTAATACCATCTGAGTCTAACAAGTGATTGATTCGATTTCAATTACAATTTGTGAAATTATCTGGTAATTTAACAAATTATAATCAGGAGGCCTGCATTCTACCAGTTCCACTTCTCAGAAACTACCATAGGACATTTCCTAAACCTCTCTAAATGTTCGACTCTATTTCTGTTAAGTGGCTAAAACCACATACTTCATACTAGAAAAACACTGAAAAGTTTACATTATAATGTAATATAATGCTCTACATCACCCCTTTATTAATTAACTACATGTAAGTTCCATCCCTTAAATTTCTAGTACTTCATACTAGAAAAACACTGAAAAGTTTACATTATAATGCAATATATTCTGATACAAGCTGAGACTATGATGAGGCAGGTGAGATACCAACTAGATTTAAGGAAGCCTCACTGTGAGGGGTTTACAAGTGCAGGGTCGGTCGCTGATAGTGAGTGCCTCCTTAAATTTTGTGTTTGAGCCGACCCCTGCCTCACCTAACTCCAGATGGAGTTGAATATTTAAACAGTATTATCAAATGAAGACCTGGGAGAAAAATTCCTAAAATATGTGAAGGATTAAAGGACTCACCTAATTAAATCTTTCAGGAGGAAATTATGACATAAAAATGAATGTCAAAGTGAGCTTAAGAAATAAATCATAAAAATTAATTAGGGGAAAAATGTATTCTCTTGATGTCAGAAAAATTAAGTAAAGCAGCCAGAGCTTCAGAATAATCCTTAACCTTACCTAGTTGGAAGTAACTTCTGTTACTACTAATGTCATTTTGAAGTATTTTTAAATTCATGATTGTACTAGAGTTCTGCTGCATGAAATTTATGCACGGGTAGGGTCCCTAGGCCTGACTGGTGATTAGCGCCAATCTGTGGGGCGACTGGCAGGGCAATCAAGGCCCTTGCTCGCACCTGTTAGCCGGCCCTGCCCCACGCTGCCTGTTGCCATCTGTGGGGGGACCAGGGCCCCGCTCACACCCACCTTGGCCTAGCACCACCCGCTCACCTGCTCCACCATCCCGCAGCAGTCCGACTTTCATCGAGGCCCATCAGGGCCGGCAATGCCTCCACTGCCGCCCACTGCCAGCACTGCATCACTGATGCCTGTCATGTTCAGTGCTGCCCCCTGGTGGTCAGTGCACATCTAACTTCTGGTCGGTCAAACTCCCACCCGTGGGGACAATTTGCATGTTAACCTTTTATTATATAGGACTAGAGGCCCAGTGCACAAAAATTTGTGCACTGGTGGGGGTCCCCTCAGCCCAGCCTGTGCCCTCTCGCAGTCTGGGACAAGCGATGGGGTTAGATGGGGTTAATCGGGAGTTCTCTTTCCTTGCTCAGGGCTGCTAGTGGGAGCCCGGCTCCCCATGACCTGGGGACACATTAGTCAGTGATAAGTGGGGCTTTCCAGCCCCTTTTATCATGTTTACAATACACTGACCCTTTTTGGACAAAACCCTGCTCCCCCACCTTGCTCCTGGCTGTTATGGCTACAGGAGACAATTTGCTGATGGACTCTCCGTGGAGGGCGCTTCCTGGGAGACCTCCTGCAGCACCCGGGGCAATATTTCCTCCACCTGGTGGATCCCGGCAGGGGCCACAGATGCTTGTTTTTCCCAGCTCATTGCAGCCTCTGAGTTCAGAAATGTCACCCTTTCCGTCTGCTCAGCTTTCATCGAAGGGCTGGGGGAGCAAACCCAGAGGCAGTGAGATTATGTTTCTCTGGCTTTGGTGGGGCGACCCCCAGCAGGGACCCTCACCCATGGAGGTGTGGCCAGCATAGGTGAGGGGCTGAGGGCCGTTTTCATGCAGCCCACAGCCCCTTCAGGGTAGGGGGTCCCACTGGGGTGCCTTGCCAGCCTGGGGGAGGGGCTGATGGCCATTTTTAGGCTGGCCATGCCCCTTGGTGACCCAAGCTCCCAGCCTTTCCTTTTATTCTATTTTTTTTTTTTTAGGGCGGCCTGGAAGCAGGTATCTGGGATTTATTTATCTTCTATAATTGAAGCTTTGTAATCTTGAGTGGAGCCCAGGGCCAGCCAGGGCAGGCGGGATGCCTGGCTTCCTCCATTGCTGGGGACAACCCAAGCCTCCTGCTCGCTCCAGCTTCGTGGCCACCACCATCTTAGTTGGGTTAATTTGCATAGTAGCCCTGATTGACTGGTGGACGTGGCTTATGGGTGTAGCGGAGTGACAGAGTGATGGTTAATTTGCATCTTTCTCTTTTATTAGTGTAGATTCCAAAATACATTGATTTGAAATTTACTTTCACATTCAAAATAGCCTAGATCCACATTTTTCCCTTTTCTGAATTTATGTCTCTCATTATAAGAAAGTACATATTTTCCATTATATTAATTATACCTCATCTTATTCACATTAAAGATTAAGTTTTATGAGGTTAATAATAATGACAGGGGAACCGAAGCAGATTGGATGGATGCTGTAAAGGAGAAGGAAAACTAGGAGAGTACAGGAAGCAGGAGACGCACTTGTTAGGATCATAGATTCTGGGGGAAAACCACATAGGAGTGTGACCTTGGACAAGTCACTTATCTCTTGGTACATCGGTTTTCCCATTTGCAAAACACATGTAATAGAAGGACCTATCTTCCTGGTGTTGTCGCAAGGTGTTATTACATTTAAAACACTTAGAACAGGGGCTGACATTTACTGTTGGCTATTAGTACAATGTTATTAGAAATTTTGTTAAACAATCTGCACCCAGACACATGTTTAGTTTAATAAATGGCCTGTCTTTCCCCTGTACTTTGGGCTGACTGATACCTATCTTATGTCTTACATATCTGAGCAAACTTGCTGGATTATATTTTTACCAAAGATCATTTGTATTTGCTCACAATCCTATTTCTTTCCATTGCACTTTTTAAAAATTAGGTGACTTAAATATAGCATAAAGCCAAAAATAAAGAAATTTGGCTCATGTATAAGTTGAATTATTTGAAAAGCCTAGATAAAGGCAAATCTTAAAACACAGTATCGATGAGATACAACTTGGTCAAAGTTGGTGAAGAAATTGTAAATATCCAGGAGGATTTTGCACTCGAATAGCTTTTTGAGTATCATGAAGTTATTACTTTAAAAAGAAATTCAAACTTGTGAAATGGATGATGCTTTATGGATGAGGTTATGAAAGAGGGATAATGTGGAACTCCAGGCAATGGAATCATACTCAAAGAAAGTATTAGGTGTCTCATCTCAATTTGAAAGTTGTGAACATTTACATATTTTTACTTAAGAAAAAATATTTAAAGAATGTAACTTATTCTTTGTGACATGCTTTTTAACCCAAATATTCATTGAAATTAATTATGGTGATGTGAATGAACTGACATGTGCATCCCTATTCTGTTAGGTAAAAGGCCTTCTGCAGTAGTACGAGGTTAGGAAGAAAGAAAATTGGAAGATTAGGACTGGAGAAAGGAAATAATCAATGGAAACTTTAGATTTCCCTTTTGATGGGTTAGTCCACTTTATCTATACAAAAAGGAGGCAGAATCAGGCAGAAGCTCTGTTCAGTTGGAAAAAAAGAGCCTAAATATCTTGTCGTTTTCTCTTGAGAACTTGAGTGAACAGACAAGATACACCTGGCTGAGGAATCCAAACCCAAACCTAAACCTACAAAAGGACTTGAATAATCTGGACTAATTGCAGTTTTCTGGATGACATTAAAATATTTCCTAAAAAAAAACACCCACTTTTGTATGTTTTCATGTTTACTTGATGCAGCGGATTCATTACTAGAAGTTGAGTTTTAGTTTCTTTTTTTCTTCTTGAAAAGCAAATCATATTTGAGATATACTATAAATGAGTAACAACTTCCATGTAGACGGGATAGAAGAAAAAAGAGCACTCAGTAAATCATTTTTAAAACAAATAGAACTTAACTTTATCTCATGTAACTTGAACCAATATTTGGCAAAGGGCATATATCTCCTGTGAATAAAGAGCTTTTAGACATTAGTAAAAAGATGAAAATTTCTACAATCCTACAGAAAAATGGAAACAATTATAAATAGGAAATTCATTAAATACTAAATCAATAAGCATATAAAAATTTTAACTTCAGGAGTAATTTAAAAAATATAAACTTAAGTAATGTGATAATCAATGTTAACAAAAGGGAAAGGAAAGGCCTATACAATACAATTTGGCAACTAAGGGTTAAAAATAATAAGAATATAAATGCCCTATACTCAAATATTGCTTTGTCAATAACCACAGCTTATGCAACAACATAACTACATAGACATCCACTATGGTATTTTAAGATTTTAAAATTTTTAAATAAGCAGAATATCCACTATTAGGGATTTGGTTAAATGAATTATGGTATTTCCATGAAGGAGGCATGTAGCAATTAAAATTCATATTAGAATTGCATATTTATTAAATTGAGGAAAATGTTTATGCTATATTACTGTTTTAAACAAAAAATACAAAATAATTCATCTTTGTCAAAAATGTAAAGAAAACAGACTGGAAAGGTCTTTGTCCAAAAGTTAAGAGTGACAAAAATATTTAAAAAATAATTAACACTATATGACTAGTCTTTCAAATGCTAATTCTTCTTCGAAGCCTATTCAAGCAGAAGTGCTTTCTCCTTTCACGGAATCCCATAACATTTTGCTTCAATCTCACATTTAGAAATTAAAATATATCATCTCCTACCATACCTACTCATAAGCACTTCTTACTTTCCTCACCATAGTTGCCCTCTCTGAAGTCAGGGCCATACACATTTCAGTTCCTCTGTAATAGCGGGTAGGGTGACTTGTGAAGCATCATTTTTAAGAAGGATATTTATTGATTATCCACAATTTTCCAGGCACAGAGTTAAGGCTTGAGGTCTATGGATAATCCGATAATATTATTGCTTGGCCTCGGGTGGGATGAATCAAGGAGAGAAAATTATAAAATGGTTCTTCTAAGTACCCAGATGGAAACTCAGGAAGGGAACCAGGGCCAGACATGGAAGCTAGTGGAAGCTTTGTAGGAAAAGGACATTCAGGAATCATTAGATAAGGGGTGAGTTGGAGAAGGATGGTAATCCTGGAATGGGAAGATGTTCTAGGCAGAAGAAAGATCAATTACAAAAGCCGATAATCAATCAAGAACCTAAAAGCTTAGGAAAGTGAAAGAAGTTCTGTGTCATTGGGACCTGACCTGAGGAAACAAAGCTTTTGGGTGAACTGGGGCTAAATTATGAAGTCTCATACGCTCTTTTCACACTTCATTGTTCTTTGAACAACCGAGCACCCACCCCCTTTAATAGTTTTTAGATTCCTTTAGTTTGCTTAGGTCTTTTTAGAGAAATAGTGCTTAATTATTCTATTTTCCATTAAGAAATGAATCAGGATGCAAAGTATATTCCATTTTCCATCTTGAAGCTGGAACTCCAAAAACTCTTCATTTTGCAAGGCTAGAAATTTTTAGTAATTTTGTATGCAGTTGCTCTTGGGAGGAGAGGGTTGATATAAACCAGTTGTGATGCTTCTTTCTCAGTTAGAAATTGTTGAAGAAACTCTTAGATTTGCTTATAATTTGGTTTACAATAACTTTAATGGCCTGCTCAGTTTTTGTTTTGAATTATTTTGTAACTGGGGTAGTAGTTCAGCTACAGTATACAGCATTTATATGAAAATATGTTATACATAAGTTTTTAAAATTATATATTTTCCACATGTAATTTAAGAAGAAGTTAAAATGGAATTATGAAAGAAAGACAGAAAGGTTTTTAAATTTTATGTATTTCTGGCACTAGAATCTAGCATACTGGGAAGGAATATAAAGGCAGATACAGTAAAAATGAAGCAAATTCTCTAAAACCATTTAAGACCAAATATAAAAACTGCATTAACATAACATCCCTTTACTATCTTTTATCCACCACTGAAATTTACTTCCTTCTCTCATAATATATTATTCTGTATAAGAAAGGGGGCCAGAGAAGTCCAGTTAACATCAGAAACCACATCCTTTATCAGCAAAAGATATAATTCAGGACTAGACAAAGGCAGAATGAATATCATTTGGGAGTTTTTCGAAGTATTTAAATTTGTCAGCTGGTGTGCATATTTTTAGACATTTTTTTCTTTCTTAATTTTGGGATATGGTAAAATTATGAGAAGAATGGGGATTTATAAATGAGAAGCTAACAGAGTTTGAAGGGAGGTATCCCACTTGGTATGTATAAAACATCAAATAGTTTTGTACTTTCATAAATATTAAAATTGCATCAGAAGCCACGCATTAAGCATTGCATCTTCAGAAAGCACTAATGCCAACAAATAATCACCTGCGATGTTGAATTACATTATAAAAAGGGGACATCCTGAAAATGAGTTTGCTTGGGGTCTAGTTGCTTGGGAGGAAAAAGAAAAGCACACACACTAGTCTAGACTATTTCAAAAATCTATCTTGGTTGCAGCCTTCAAATCTGATAGCAGTCACAGCTCCGCAGCTGAACAGCTATTGGAAGGAGCAGCAAGGTTAATGAAGAAAGAGCAAGCTAAATCTCCTCAGAATAATTCACGCTGACATGGAAATGTGTGCTGCCACCACTCTGCTCTGTGGACTCAGAGATGCTGTTATTCATCCAGCCCTGTGGGAGGGAAGGAGCACAAATTGACTCACAGTTCGGGATGTGGGAGGAGCTGAAGGACTCGTTAGGGAAACCATCTCCTGGATTGCTAGTCGGAGCTTTAAGCGATGCAGGGGATTGCTGATTCCAATTTCTCTCTGGATCTCAGTGTCTGACAGAGCAGACATGATGGCTCCGCTCTTCACATTGGCTCGGCAGGCTGCCACATACCAGGCAGGCATTCCCAACCAGAGCTGTTGGATAGAAAAAAATACATAACAGATTACAGTAATAATTAATATGTTAGTGTCTCGTATGTGCCAGGCACTGTTCTAAGTACTTTACACACATGAACCCTTTTGTTTCTACCATCCGATGAGATAGATGCTATTATGTTCCCCAGAAGAGGCAGATGAACGGGGGCACTAAGTAATTTATTTTAAAAATTCAGGTAGACAGTGATGGAGATAGAGATTTGAAATCGAGTTTCCAGAGTTTGCAATGTAACAACTAATTTTTATTATTTGGGATAAAGTTAATAGTTGTGCAACACAAAATTCCCCCTTGAGTTAGAACAAGAACAGCTACAAGCTGCATATGGTAAAGCCTCAATCAATGTTTGTTGAATGAGTGACTTCAATTTATAATTCTCCTTTGGGATTTTGAGCGCGAGAAATTCTGTCACAGAAAGTGCCAGCTACCACCTCCAGCCCCATGATTTTGATCAAAGCCTGCAGTGTAGCTAAGCCACATTTATCACACATCAACCTACACCACGTAATGCTTGTGTGAACTTAATTAGATGTTCTATATGAACATACTTATGGAGAATGAAATGTGCTGATAAAAGACACTAAATTTATAAACATCTGGAAACCTCTAGCTAAAGAGAGTAACAACATGAATAATGAATTAGAAATTAGGGATCTCAATTTTTCAAGTTTGCTGTGATGTTCTTGAGAGACATTTGAATCAGTAGTGGAATGAGCACAGCACAGTGACTGACACTCATCTTAAGCACTGGATGGATGCCAATTCACAGGCATGTTGTGGCATCTGAATTACATATACTTAAAAAATGAATGTTCCCTCCACTTTCCCCCATCATGAGTTATGGGTTAGAAGCCATACTTTTACTTAGCTCTGAGTAAGAAGCAGAGCAGTTTAAACCTTGTTTTTTCAATAGCCAAAATACTAAGTTAGAGGGCTGTTTATTTGTTGATGGGAACAGATAGAGCAAAAGGAGAGCATGAGGGTGAGAAAAGTGAGAAGTAAGAGTAAGACGAAAAACAATAAATCAGCCAAATGCAATGCCAAGAATCAGAAGGCCTGGGCTCTATCTAATTCCTTCCCTGTCATCACTGAGTCACGTGACCCTCTAAACCTCAGCCTTATTTTTCTCATTTGTAAGTGAATGGATTCAGCCTCATTCTAAGGCATTGTGTTGGGCAGCTTCTAAGATGGGTCACAATGAGCTCCTCTTTCTAATGTTCCTGCCCTTGTATAATCTTGTTCCTTTGAGTTCTTAAGGAACAGACTGTGATAAAAGTGAAGGGATGGTGCTTTCCAG